TTAGTCTCGGTTTAACATTCCAAATTGATTTGGTTCCTTTTTTGCCTCCAAGTATTTTAAATATTAAGTATTTAAAATATTTTATTAAAATCATTTCTCAAATTTTAAATTTTAAATTTCTTCAAAATTAGGAAAAAAATTATTTAAAAATATCCCGCGGCGGAACGCGGGTTTCGACCTAGTACATTACAACGTCTGGATGGTGATACAATAACTACACTACCCTAAATTATTAGGCTATATGTTATAACCAACCTAATTTCTATATATAATATATTATTTGTTTTTGTAAATTTTTTTGTTGAAAAACTATTTTATAAGTTTTTCTTAAATTTGCATATTTATTATAAAAATTTTACATATTGAAATATTTCTGTTATGTTTATTTAAATATTAAACCATAAATTTTGCGCCAATTACATCAAAATTTCTTGGCACCGATCTGACTGTAGTTCACACATATACTCTCGAAGTCGTTCTCATCTCCGCTCCAAAACACTTCTCACCGGATCTTTGATCGTCTAACCAACAACTCTTCTCCCGGTTTCACCTTTTTAACGGTGTTCTCGCAAAATATTTTATATTTAACAAATTTAATTCGTTCTACTTATACATTCATTTGTTTAGTAAATATGATATAAAAGAAAATTAAGTTTTTCTAGTGTACTTAGATCAAATTGATAGTCAACCGAATTTTGTGAACGTACATATATGATATAACTTGTATTTTCCTAATTTTTTGTTATGGATTAAATATATTTGTTATAGAATAATGTCAATTTAATTAGCTGCTACAAATTTTTTATTTTCCATTTTTTGACGTCTTAAATATACAAAGTTATGAAAAAACAAATGAGCCAAAATCAAACAAATTAGAGCTCAAAATAACAAAGTGCAAACCAATGAAAAGATTTAAAGCGGAGAGATAAAAGCTAAGAAGACACATAGCTGAGCTCCAGCACAAAGAAAAAGCCATTTAGACAGTTGCACCGTTTGCTGTATCGACGGCAACGTCAAACTAAGAATATCAGTTCCAACCGTGACACGAATC